TCTACTGAAATACACTGCTGAGGGGAGCAGCGGGTGAGTCAGGAGAGGCCTGCTGCGCCATGTTGGTAGCTCCCTGGCCGAGGATAGAACTCATGGTGCTGAGTGTGATAGCTTCATAGTGCTTAGACTTAACTCCTTGTGCCAGCAGGGAGGCCTTCCTGTCTCTTTCTTACCAAGACTATTTTTTTCCTGCCTCTCTCCCTGCCCCTTGGTCTTGTCTTGCCTCCCCTCCTTGTTTTCCTTTTGTCTGTCTCTTGCCCCCTCCTCTCCTTTCTTCCTCAGGACCCTGGCCCTGTCCCTTGCTCACTCTGTCGCATGGTTCCCAGCAGCACTGGAGGAGTGAAGGTGGGATTGTGGGACTGTAGGCATATTTGTGCCCATGTTTAGGCAGCATGGCAAGGGGTGTCACACACAGTCACCCTCTTTTTTGCCAGAGTCAGAAGAGATCAGAGGACAAGTTCCTACATCAGCTGCCGGGTTCTTTGGAGCAATTCATAACAAAGGGCCAGGTGCTGAGGCCCTGAGTGATTAACTGTCTAGAAGAGACTCAATACGGTTGCCTCTCCAGGTGGAAACCTTCCCCACCCAGTTGAGGGAAAGATGAAAAACACACAGAAGCTGTACTTTGAGCCTCTCCTCCTCCATCTCCAAACTGTTGGTGGGATTGGGGACACTGTTTTGTCATGGAGGGGGGATGGGTTAGGGGCAGGAAGCAAAGGAGGAAGATGCCTGGCCTCTTCTCTGTCCAATTGGTCACTCCCCTAGCCAGTGGAGCTGGGCTGGGTACACTGGGAACTCCGTTACAGGCCATAGAGAGGCAGGACATGGAAAGGGAGCAGTGTGCAGAGGAATTAAGACTCTGGAGAAGAAGCCAAGTCTATGGGAGCGGATTTCCAGAGGGCCTGGGCTGGTGTGTTGGGCCAGGAGAGCAGGGCGGTGTTTGGGGGTGGTTCTGCAAATGGAAGGCAACTCATCTTAGGGCAAATTTGGAGCTGCTGTGCAGAAGCTTGATGCTTCCAGAGGGCATGTAAGGTCTGCTCAAACCAGAGCTGGACAAAGGTTGCTGGGGCCTTGCGTGTAGTCTGCACCCTGAAGGCTGAGCCCCAGGGTTCAGACTTTGTGAAGAAAGCATCTTCCAATCCCCTGTAATGGGGGGTGAGACCCTGGTTGTTCTACCTGAGAATGACACTTGAGGGGTGGGGTGGGGACTCTCCTGGCACAGGCCCAGTGTGGGTTTCTGAGGGCTCTGGGTAGAGGAAGTGGGACCACCCCATCCTGCATGGCTGATTACCAGGATGACGCAGGACCCCCCCTAGGGCACTATCCTGCTCCATCTGTGGGGCCCTTCCTCTTCCTGCCTCTGTGCTCTTTCTTGTTCTCACCTACCACCCCACCTCTCTTCTTCCCTGGCCCCTTTCCTGCCTCTCTCCTTTTTTTTCTTTCTCTTGCCCTTCTATCTCTTTCAGGTCCTGACTCTCCTGCCAGCCTCTCCCATTGTTCCTTGTCTGTTTCTCTCCAGCCCCAGCCTCTTGGTCCTATGCAGGGTATAGAAGGTCTCTCCACACACATCTCCTCCTACTGGACTCTGGGGGCCCCTGTCTGGCTGGCTCTGTGTATGTATGTGTGTGCATGCAAGCATGCACCCCAGCACAGGTGAAACGTATGTGTACACACGTGTGCTTGAAGGGTGTGTATGTATGCGTACATGTGTGTACACCCCCAACACAGGTGAAGGGTGTGTGCATGCGCAGACATGTTTGTACTTGTGTGTGAAGGGCGTGCGTGTGTGTGTGTGAAGGGGCTCTGGTTGAGTCAGAGTTGCGGATGCAAGCTGTGAGGGCGGTGAGGGCTGGGCTCAGGGTGCTGGGAAGAGTCAGGCTTTCTAGAGGCAGACCCAGCCCTGCCCCTAGGCCCTCCCTTCATTCTAGGAAAATTATAAGAACCAGCCCCATGGTGACCACACACACAAAGCACATTGTTCCATTCCAGGTCTCTGCTGGCTTTGCTGCCAATTCTTGGTGGCAGGCTGGCAGCCTTGCCCACCTGGCGGGATGGGGGCTCCTTCCATGATTTTCTGTTGTCTCCAGGCAAGAGGAAGGGACAGGGAACACTCTGGGGTGGGGACGTGCATGCTGGCCCTGCTGACCTTAAGGAATGGCACCCTTGCCCCTCCCTGCTTGCTGCCCACCCCACACACATTGTCCCATCCCAAGAGTTGGCTTGGCAGGTTTGTCCTGCATCCCCCCCCACCCCCCGCCCCCGCCACCCATCTTGTTCTTTCCCTTAAGTCTTTGCTGAGGCTGAGTCTCCTGCATGAGCAGCACACCCTCTCTTTACTCCACTCCTCAGGTTTCAATTCCTGGCTGCAACTCATCTCTTCTAGGAAGCCTTCCTTGATTGTCCTCTTTCCCGTTTCTCCTTGGCCCTGCCAAATGGCCGGACCCACAGCAGATGTACTATATGGTGAGAATCCAAGTTTCTTGGGGCGATGTCCGTCCAGGAAACAGCCTGAGACAAGAGGAAGGCACCAATGACCACCACTCACCCTCTACTCACCTTCACCTTCCAGGCACTTGCTGAGCATTATTCACTCCAGTAACAGAGCAACCCTTCAGGTAGAGTTTTTTATCCCATTCCACAGGTGAGAAAATGGAGGCTCTATGAGATGAATCAGCTTGCCTGAGGTTACACAACAACACCCGCAAACAAAGACACTCTCAAAATGATGTGGAAAAGACAGGGGATTCCAGGGTAAGAGAAAGGCCTCTCCTCCCCCAAGGAGTCAGCATGTCTCCGCTCCTAACTGTGTGGAGATGGAAAGTCCAGGGATTGATACAGAGTCTGGGACGGAGGCTGGAGGATGGGTGCACTGACCCTTTGAGTACTTGCCTGGGTTTAGTCCACTCTCTCTGTCCTCCCCGAAAAGACTTCCCAGCCCATCTTCAGAGGTCTCCCCTCCCCTGAGGGGAGACACTTAGCAACTCCTGAGCCCCCCTACACGCCACACCCCAGCTCTGGCCTCCTTTTCAGGGCTGCTCCCGTGATGCCTGACTCGGATCAGCCTGCTCACTGCCTGCTCCAGCCACCCTGTTGCCCGCTGCCCTCCCAGACCACCTTGGCTATCATTCACCCAGGATGTCCACCTAGAACCCTTCTCTGGCTTTGGGGTGTCAGAAGAGCCTGCATTCAGACTCATGCCAGTGATGTGCACAGAGTCCAACTTCCTTTTCCCAACTGTCTCTACTCTTCTTCCTTTATTCCTTCGCTTTCTTATCTCCTAGACACCTGCCATGCGCAAGACATTGTGCTTTAATTTTTTTTTAATCATCAACCAGTAATTAAAAAAATGGGCTAATAAGGATATTGCCATATTGCTCATATGTGTGGGGCTGTGTGTCAAAAGTGAATGTGATTTTGAGTGAAAATTCAGGTTATTCTCTTACTCTCTATGGTTTTATATACCCAAAAATAAATTTTGAAAAATGTATTGTTGAATTTTATTAAAAATTGAGGATATAAGATATACTGGGTATAAGCTAGAGTATGGGTTAGGTTGCTATCACAAAAACACTGAACAATGGATTAGACAAGGTATAAATTTATTTCTAAAACTTAACCATTTGAAAGCAGAGAACTGGTAGGGCTAGTTCTACTATCTACTATATATGATTTCCATTTCTGTGTCTAAAGTGGCTGCTGCTGTTCCTGCTATCACATCTACATCCTAGTCAATGTAAAAAAAAGAAAAGCACTGTGTCAGATCCACAACCCAAATTTGTGGTAAGTGGGTCCATCAATAGCTAACCTGATAAAAGCATGAATGAATGTAACAAGAGTCCAAACAATGCATCTTGGGGTGCTGGGAACAATGATAAACATAGGTGGGAAACTCTATTGCAGGGACAACATTGACCTGCACCAAGGATTCTGACAGGTCAGGAAGGGGGCATTGTGTGTGGATATGGAGATTGGGCATGCCTTTAAGCTCTCCCCAGTGTGGGAAGATCCGAGGAGTCTTCCCTCCTGGACTATGAGCCTCTGAGCAGGGTCTGTGTCCTCTAAAGCTGTGCTTTTCAGGCTGCCTGGGTGAGGACAGATTTCTGTTCTTTTAATTCCCATCTGTCATGAGCCAATTATACTATAAAATACAATGGAAAGGAATTATTGGAAAAATAAGATGAGGCATACAAAGTACAAGCCCTAGTTTTCTACTGTTGACTTAACAGACTTAGAACCACTGTCAAATAGCTATTCAAGAACCAGAAGAACATTCCAGGCTGGTGGTAAGGCTGGGGACCCGCCTAGGACGAACAATTTTCAAGCTGCAGGTCATGACCTGTTTGTTGGGCGGGAAATTCATTGAGTAGGCTATGACCAGCATTTTAAAAAAAACGGCAAGTTGAACAGAATAGAAAATAGGGCGATTACCAGCAGCAGGGGAGCGTGGTTTTATTTATTTCTGGTGTGTGTACACGTATGCATACTCGGACTGGTGTGTGCACATATATGCATGCTTGGTGACCTGTGACCGTGGTTGTCCTGCTGGTTCCCCTATGCCCCATCCTGTATGGACTGAATCTGCTTACTGAGGCCATGATCCCCACCCAAGCACCTCATTTCCTTCAGCTCAGAGTGTCTTTCTTTTGTCTCCTCCTCCAGCCACCTTTATGTCTCTCCTGGTTCCAGGGCAGTGGTCCTGTCCAGGCCTTCAGCTTGCCTGCCTCCCTTCCTAGACAATGCTCCTCCTCCCTCACCATGTTCACTTGCTCTCTTCCTCCTGGCCCCTTGTAATCAGACACAGAACAGAGGGTGCCTGCCCTTAAGAAGAGAGCAGCTATGCTGGGAGTTCAGCGCTACACAGCGGGGTGGGAGTGTCTGGGAATGGGATGCAAAGAAATATGTGGGAATGGGGCTTCTCCGTAACAATAGGAACAGAACCAGGAACCCAGTCAAAGTTCCAAGCCCACCCCACTCCAAGGTAGGGCAGGGAGAGGCCCTGGTTTCCACTGGAGGCCTTGATGAGGGACCCACATAAATTCACCCGAGGACACTTTTTGCCTCTTCAATGTTCTGCTCTCCCTGTAGGTGTGTATTATAATCTGTTCAAACAATTCTCTATAAATGAGTCTCTGGGCAGTCGGAATAATGGACAATTATAAATAATGTTGAAAGGAACATCTCTGTACCTTTCCCTTGCCATGTCTGATTTCCAGCGGTCTCCTCACCCACCTCTTGTTTCTGATGTCTCTAGGACATGCTTTTCCCCCTAACATATCCACACACGGTCACATTCCTCCTGCTCCGCTCAGCCGCTGTCTGGGCCTCATGTCATGAGGATAAACATGAACCAGAGGTTTGGAAAATGTGATCTCTTCCTTCTCAGGCCACACGCCCTCCTTTCTCACAAGGACTCGTTTGGCTTCTTCAGTCAGGCTTCCCAAAAACCCAGCTGTAGCATAAAGACCCTTATGTAACAGAAAAACTAACTCAAAATGGTTTAGAGAATGCAGAAAATTTTTATTTCATAAAAGAAGTCCTGAAGTAGGTTGATTCCAGGGCAGCTAATTGAGTGACTCTATCACGTCACTGAGGACCCAGGTTCTTTTGTCTTTCTGCTTTGTTTTCCTCAGGTGTTGGCTTGCTCCTCAGGTGCTGTAGTTCCCCTCAGGGTTGCAAGATGGTTGCTGAAATTTCAAACATCTCATCCAGCTGTGCTATGCCTGAAGGCTGAAGAGGAGCCCTTGCTTTCTGTGAGTCTATTTTTTTAACAACAAGATTTCCCCCCGCCCCCCCAAAGTGCCCTCAACAAGCAGGGCCTCCCCGTAGCACAGCGGTTGAGCGCTGGGTTGCGAAGCTGCCCGCGGCCTCTGTGGCGCCGGCGGTTCGATCCTCAGCTGCTCCCCGGCCACCAGAGGAGGGTCCCGCATGGCGCGCAGACCTCTCCTGCCGCCCGCTGCTCCCCTCAGCAGTGTACTTCGGTCCTTCTGCCTGCTCTGCTCCCCGCTCTGGTGAATTCTCTCACCCTCCCGCACTTCTGACTGTACCCAGTGCTTGTATGTATAAACAACAAACAAACAAACAAATAAATAAATCTTTAAAAAAAAAAAAAAAAAACAAGCAACCTTACCCTTAGTGCTCATTGGTTAAGGTTAACTCCAGGGAGGGAGGATGAGGCCCCCTGGTTGGTGAGGCCTGGGGATGAATGAAGGGGTGGGGTGCCTTTAAAGGAGAAGAGACCACTTGGACAACTCACATTGTCTACCTGCAGACTGGTTGAGAAAGTCTCCCCAAAAGGGAGGCACTTCATTTCTGTGTTTCTCCTCTAGCTGGGCCTGTGGTTCTTACCCCAGAGACTTAGGTTGACTTGATTCAATTAGAAAACATTTGTTGAGGGAAAGAGATAAGATTTCACCCTTGAGGGAGTTTGTTGTAATGCAAGAGAGGAAAGAGCAAGGCCAGGGGACAGGCTGGGGAAAGAAGGATGAATCAGCTGAAACTGGAGACAGGATGTGCTCAACAAGCCCTTCTCTCTGAGGGAAGGAGTTAAAGAAGTCTCAGTTTGGACTGGCTTGGATGCAGGGGACAGACTGAGATGACCTTTAGCGGGCTTCCTCTAATGCTGGAGCCAACTGTGTCAGGGATGGGGAGACCAAGGTGGACGAGGTACGGAGGTGAGGGGGACACTTTATGCCAAGTCAGGACCCCTTTTCACTTTCCCTAAGTTGGGTCTTGCCCTCACCCCTGAATCACAGAGGGTCAGGAAGGAAAGGACACTGTGAGTCAGGAACCTACCTGGGGAAAAAGAAAAACACAGGAAATGACTCAAGGTCTATGGGGCAGATAGGTGGCCTGCGGTGCCAGTGCGGGTGCAGGTGTCCAGCACAGATCCTGGGGGCGTTGGCTGAGGGTGTGGGTCCCCTCCCAGAGGCTGCTGGTGCAGGCCATCCTGACTATTTCTGCCAAACATATTTCCCACAAACACTTTCCCTCCTCACCACCGCAGGCTGCCTGCCCACTCACCCACAAACTCAACCACCAGCTGTTGCAATTCCTGGCTCTGGTCCACCCCCTGCATCCGGGAGGGCTCATCACCTCTGACACCAGAAGGTGGGTCAGTCTCTTTCCCTGCCTCCCCACAATTCCTGTCCCTCTGCCCTCATACACCTAAGGGAGAAATGCCGGATCCACTGGAGGGTGGGGGTCTTCCGAGCACAGCAGATACACCTGTGCTCGATGGTGCTGTGGGTGTCCTGGGGTCCGGGATTTGGCCCCAAGTGGAGTCATGGGTGTAAAGCGACAGGAAGCACAGCCTTGTGAACTCCAGGGCTGCGAATCAGAGCAGCCTTTGTCTCACTCTCTGGAGTTCGGATTTGAGACCAGTTTCCCCAGAAAGCAACATGATCTCCTTCCCTCTCAGGCCGTACAGCCTCCCTCTTGTGTTCCTTTACCACTGTTCTTATGCACCAGGCTTCCCTGGCACCTCTGAGGGAGAAGCGGTTGGGCATGTTATTATCAATGTTATTTTACAATTGTGAGTTTTATTACATATATAAGATATAAAGGGAAGTATATATTATATATGAGATCATGAAAAATCAGTTTGCTAAATTATATATATATATATATATATACACACACATACATATATATAAACATACACACACACACACACACACACACACACACAAAGCCCCCTATTCTTTCTAATAGCTATAGAGTATTTCATTCTAAGGATGTATTCTATAATTTTTTTTAATTAATTAATTTATTTATACATGCACTGGGTACAGTCAGAAGCTCGGGAGGGTGAGAGAATTCACCAGAGCCAGAGTGGGGAACAGAACAGGCAGAAGGACCAAAGTACACTGCTGAGGGGAGCAGCGGGCGGCAGGAGAGGTCTGCGCGCCATGTGGGACCCTCCTCTGGTGGCCGGGGAGCAGCCGGGGATCGAACCAGCGTTGCAGAGGCTGTGGGCAGCTTCGCAACCCAGCGCTCAACTGCTGCGCCACCGGGGAGGCCCTGTATTCTATAATTTTTAAGAAAGATTTATTTATTTATGCATAGAAGAACTGGGATGTAGGCCAGAGATGCAGGGGTGGAGAGGACTCACCGAGAGAGTGGTATTCTGCTGCTCCACAGCAGAACAGGTGGATTGACTGAAATACACTGCTAAGGGGAGCAGTGGGTGAACAAGGAGAGGTCTGCTGAGCCATGTTGGTAGCTCCCTGGCCCAGGATCAAACTCAAGCTGTCATGGTGCTGCAGTGGGCCTTAATGGTGGTAGCACTGAGACTTAAACCCTAGGCCACCAGGAAGGCCATATATTATAATTTATTGAACTAATTTCCTATAAATGAACCTCTGCATTGTTCTCTCCCTCCACTCTCTATTTATTCATTGTATATATGTTTTACATCATGCTTCCTTTTTGTGCAATGTGTGCTTTCTCCTCTCAGGTGTAGTCCCTGTAAAATTCCCACCACCAAGTCACCCATGCACCATCACCATAGTCCCTTGTGCTCTTCTGTCCCCTGTTCTGATTCTTCTCTCCCCGCTCCCCTGCAGAGTGTCTTTGATTTATAGTTGCCTATTTATTTTGTTTTTTAATTTATTATATATATTTTTTTCTGATACCTTATTTGATTCCCCTACATTTCTCCTATAAGTGAAACCATTAGTATTTTTCTTTTACTTTCTGGCTTATTTCACAGTTTCACTGAGCATAATCCCTTCCAGCTCCCCCATGATGCTGCAAATGGCATGAGTTTATCTTTTTTGATTGTGGCATATATATACACATACACATATAACACATCTTCTTGATCCAGTCACCTGTTTTTGGGCATTTGGGTTGTTTCCATATCTTACCTATTATAAATAGTGCTGCAATAAACATAGGGGTGCAGGTGTCCTTTTGAATTAATGTTTTTGTGTCCTTTGGGTAGATTCCTAGGAGTGAAATTGCTGCGTCATATGGAAGGTCCATTTTTAGTAGTTTGAGGAACGTCCAGACAGCTTTCCATAGTGGTTGGACCAGTTTGCATTCCCACCAGCAAGCGTAGGAGAGTTCCCTTTTCTCCACATCCTCACCAACCTTTGTTTCCTGTTTTTTAAATACGTGGCATTCTCACTGATTACAAGTGATGTTGAACATTTTTTCATATACCTGTTGTCCATTTGCATTTCCTCTTTGGAGAAGTGTCTTTTTAGCTCTCCTGCCAATTTTTTTTTGACTGGATTGTTAACTTTGTTTTTGTTGAGTTGAGTCAGCTCTTTGTAGATCTTTTTTTTTTTTTTTAAAGATTTATTTATTTATTCATACAAGCACTGGGTACAGTCAGAAGCGCGGGAGGGTGAGAGAATTCACCAGAGCCAGAGCGTGGAGCAGAGCAGGCAGAAGGACCAAGGTACACTGCTGAGGGGAGCAGCGGGCGGCAGGAGAGGTCTGCGCGCCATGTGGGACCCTCCTCTGGTGGCCGGGGAGCAGCCGGGGATTGAACCAGCGCTGCAGAGGCTGTGGGCAGCTTCGGAACCCAGCGCTCAACCGCTGCGCCACTGGGGAGGCCCTCTTTGTAGATCTTTGTGATCAGTACCTTATCAGTAGTACTGAGTGCAAAAATTTTCTCCCGATCAGTAGGGTGTCTCTTTGTTTTGGTTAATGTCTCTTTTGGTGTACAGGAGTTTTTCAGTTTGATGTAGTCCCAGCTGTTCATCTTTTCTTTCACTTTCTTTGCTTTGGGGATGTGTATTTAAAGATGTTACTGAGATGTATGTCATGTAGTGTTTTGCCTATATTTTCTTCTCTATATTTTATGGTTTCAGGTTTTATGTCCAATTCTTTTCTCCATTTTGAGTTGTTTTTTTGTGCATGGTGTGAGGTAGTAATCTAGCTTCATTCTTTTGCATATAGCAGTCCAGTTTTCCCAGCACTATTTACTGAACAAACTGTCCTTGTTCCATTGTGTATTCTTTGCTCCTTTGTCAAAGATTAGTTGTCCATAAATATGTGGGTTTATTTCTGGGTTTTCTATTTGATTCCATTGTTCTGTGAGTCTGTTTTTGTTCCAGTACCATACAGTTTTAATTACTGTGGCTTTGTAGTATAATCTAAAGTCTGGGAGTGTGATGCCTCCATTCTCCTTCTTTTTAGTGAGGAGAGCTTTGGATATTTGAGGTTTTTTGTGGTTCCATATGAATTTCATCAATATTTGTTCTATTTCTTTGAAGAATCCACCCCCTCTTTAAAAAAATGATAATGCAGCAACAAATATTTTTCCACATTTACCTTTGGGCATTTGCATAAATATTTCCGAAGGATAAAATCTGAGCGGTTAAATAGCTAGGTTGAAGCATATGAACATTTAAAATTTAAAGATAATGTTCTGACTTTCATTCCATTAGCACTGTGTAAGACATCTGTGTAGTCACGCCTTCCTCAACACTGTGTTAGGAATCCTCTAAAACTTTGCCAATCTGATAAACAAAAAAATTTATCTTGCTTTCATTTGCATTAAAATTAGGGAGATGAAACAACTTGTGTATTTTTATTATCCAATTGTGCTTTTTTTGCAACTAGCCTGTTTATATTCTTTGCCTGTATTTTCCCATTGGATTGTTTTTTCCTTATTGTTTGATAAAATAGATCTTTTTTCTAAGTTAAGAAAACGAGCCTTCTGTCATTCATCTTGCAGGTATTTTCCTCTTATAGTGTCTTTTGATTTTACTTACAGAGTTTTGGAATTTCTACATAGATACATTTATTAATCTTCTTTGTAATGACTTCTATTTTGTTCCATTACTTTTTTTCCTTCTACCCCCAATCATAAAAATATTTACACACATTTTCTTCTGCCACTTTTATAGCTTTATTTTTCAAAGGGTTTTATTAAATTTTTTTTCCTTCAACCCTTTGATCCAGTTGGAATTTATTTCAGTGTCAAGAATGAGGTAGGGAATACAGATTTTGAAATTTTTGTTCCAAATATCTGGCTTGTGTCTCAATTTATTGAATTGAATTCTCATGTTTACTTGAGTCCATTTCACATTTCTTTATTCTTTACTACTGATTTATCTGCCTGTACCAGCTCCATCCTATTTTAATTACTGTAGCTCTGCAATATTTAAAAAAGTGTTTTATAGGGCTACTCCTCCCTTGTTAATTCACTTTTTCACCCTCCATGAATTTTCTGGCTATTCTTTTGTATTTATTTTTCCAGATGAATTTATACTCACCCTGTCAAACAATTTATTTGTTTGTTTGTTTGTTTGTTTAATATTTATTTATTTATTTATACAAGCACTGGGTATAGTCAGAAGTGCGGGAGGGTGAGAGAATTCACCAGAGCCAGAGCGGGGAGCAGAACAGGCAAACTGAGGAAATACACTGCTGAGGGGAGCAGTGGGTGCAGCAGGAGAGGTCTGCGCACCATGTGGGACCCTCGCTGGTGGCCAGTGATTGAATGGGCGCTGCAGAGGCTGCGGGCAACTTCGTAGCTCAGCACTCAAATGCTGCCCCACGGGGGAGGCCCCTGTCAAACAATTAAAAAAAAAATCAGCTGATATTTTATACAGAAGTCCACTGAATTTATAGATTAATGATGGGACACTGACATGGTTACAGTGTTATTGACTTTTTATTTAGGAACAAGTTCTCTTCATCTGTTCCAGTCGATGGTTAAGCTTCATGTTTGGGTTTTATAGCTCCTTCCACATATATTTGCGCATTAGTTTTCTGTGGGTCTCATGGTATATTTTTGCTGCCTTCATAGATGGGACTTTATTTTTATATTTCTTAGTTTTCATGTTTAACATATCTTGTTTTTAAACTAGTCTCCTGACTAAATACTCTATTACTAAAAGTTCCTTAGCTGATTCTCTTAGAATATCCAAGTATAAAATAATATACTAATCATATTTTCTCTTCATAAATTTATACTTCTTAGTTTATTCTTTTATCTGATTGCATTGTCAAGTCATTTCAGAACAATATAAATATTAGTGGTTATAGTTATGGTGACAGCTGACATCCATCTTTAATATGGGATCACTTCTAAAGTCCATTAAATACATTGGGAAAATTAATCTTTTTATCTTACATATAAGATCATGGGTTATACCAAGTTTCCCATTATTTGTCTTGTTGTTTTGGAAGGAATCTTACTTAGTCTTAATATTGTCTGTGTATGTTGACACAGTCCTAATCAGTACACTCTCCCTAGGTAGAGCTTTCTCCCTAGCTGGTCATTCCTCCCTTGGAGGCAGGAAGTTAGGGGGAGGTGTAAGATGGGGCAGGGCCACAGCCAAGACTTAGTGTGGGCTCTCAGCCTCCTATTCTTCAGGGAATGAGGAGCCACAAGAACAATTTTACCCACCTTCATGTCCCCCCAGACTGAGTGAGAAAACAGAGCTGAGCAAGGGATGAGAAGGGCTAGGGAAGGGAGGAAGACAAGGGAGGACTAGGGAGCTGGGATCAGGGTGCCTTGGGGGAAAGTCGGGGCTTCTCCTGCTTACCTCTTAGGAGTTCCTCTATCACCCTCAGGGCTATCTCAAGCTCCAGCTTTTAGAGGAGATAGCGTCTCATGCCTTGGACTTCTCCCAAGTTGATGGAACGACACAGGTAAAGGTGGCTATTCCTACATAGGAGAGCCTTCTGGAGCTGCTTGGAGAGCAGAGGAGTCCAGGCTGGTTTGGCTACCTCTCAACATTTGGACTTCCCTCAGCAACTTCTGGGAGCCATAACCACTCTGCCCTTCCCCCATCTCCTGCAGAGTCCTGGGAGCTGTCCTTTTGTCCTAAACATCTGGCCTCCCCCTTCCATTTCCTAATGCAGCTGAGGAGTCCTCCGGCCATGGCCTTTGATTACAAACCTGGCTGACTTCATCAGCACCATTGAATGAGCTTGCTGGAGAGAGGGGAAGGTTGGGGGCCAGGAAGGGAACTTTCCAGTGTGGGCCATGACAGGTGTGGGGCACCATGGTAGCTGATGCACCAGTGTAGGTGATAGGCTAAAGCTAGGTAGCCAGATAGAGACAAGAGGCCTCTCAGATATCTTCCTTGAAATGGTCTCCCTTTCCTGCTACACTCTCAACCCCAGGAACACAGAAGGAAAAAGACCTTGGCCCCTAATCTCTGAGTCTTCCAGGTCTGTGAACTCTCTCTGGCCCTTTATTATTAACAACCCAGTCATCTAAAAGTGAGGGAGGTGGTTCTGTGGCTGTGTTTACATTACCTGGAAGGATAGACACCTGTCCCCACTTTTCTCATGAGAGATGATCAAGAACACACTCACAGGTGAGAGAGTAAACCAAGTTCCAGGCAGGGTGAGGCTGAGCATGGTCAGTCCTTGTCAGATGGCCAGCAGGAGTGAAAAATGGGCTCCCTGCCTGGAGACAGGGGATTAAATGTTGACGAGACTGTGAAGATTAAAGGATTCTCGAAACTTTTCCTGCTACCTTTGGTGTGCCCCAGCAGGTGCAACTGGAGTTGAGTCCATTTCCCAATCATGGGAGGCTGGTCAACAAAAAGGGGCTCCTGGTATCATGCTGGGGCTCAGGATGGAAATCCCATTTCTGTCAAGACAGGCAAAAATAAGGTACATCCCAGCCTGGGAACCCCAATTCCCTGGATGGGCACTCAAGGCAGGGGCTTGTGTAGAAAGGCAAGATGGGCCCTGAGTTTGGACCTGGGCTTCTAGAACAAGCTGGGATGCATGGCGGGATGAGGAACCCTTGGGGCATGTGAGTTGGCCTCTATTAGCCACAACCCACGAGAGCTTTCCCTAGAATTCTCTTGCAAAATCATGATGGATTCTTGACTGGTGTGGCTTCCTGTGGAAAAGTAGGTACTACTGGTAGGTCCTGTTAAGTGTACTGGCATGAGTCTTACTCATTTCCAGTTTTCTCAGTTTCTGCACCAGGCCGAGGCCCCTGGGGGGAGCAGCTGTTAAATGTATCCCAGATGTGCTGTGTCAGACAGAGTCAAGAAGCAGGACAACTGCTTTTTGGAAGAACAATGCAATTTCCGCAGAAAGCCTTCCCCTTTGGGCAGACATCTCCTAGCAGCTTAGGGAGATCAGAGAGCTCTCTCTCTCCTTTCAAGAGCCAGAGACCCTCAGGGTTGAGGGGACCCTTTCCAAACTGCTCCAGAGAGCCATGGGGGTTTTCTGGGTTGGGGCTAGGAGGCTGAACAGGAAGGGCTTGGGCATCAGCCAATCCTCCCCAACCCAGCTACAACCAAAGACTTGCCTCTGCTTTGATCTGTTGTACTTAATAGGGCTTCAGAGTAAAGGCCCCTTAGACAGTGAGCACTGAATCTTCAAGTATACTGGAAGGGCCCCAGCGTGACCCAGGCGCCTACACCATGGGATCTGTTCCTCAGCCAAAGAATGCTGGGCTCTGTGCACGGTTAACAGCTGGGATCTGCAGCAGGTTGCCCAGGCCATACTCCAGGGGCTGCCATTTATCAGCTCTGCGACCTTAGGCTACCTAACTTCATCAGTGCTTCAATTTCCTTACCTGTAAAATAGGCTGCTGCAACAATAAAAAAAACTGTTTAAAGTAAAGCACTTGGCACAGTGCCTGGATAATACAGTGTTAGCTATTATTATTATTATTATTATTATTATTATTATTAATATTCAACCTCCCACCTCCCAGGAATGACACCAGCTCACTGCCCCTCCAGGACACCTGTTCTGTGTTCTAACTGCCCTCTTGTCTTGCAAGGACCAATCTGGCCACTCATTCATCAGCCTGAGGGGGCTTTGTGATTTTTTTTTTTTAAGATTTATTTTTATTTATTTATATATACATGAACTGGGGTGTAGATCAGAGGTGATGGGGGGGTGAGAGGATTCACCAGAGACAGAATGGGGAGCAGAACAGGCATATATACTGAAATATACTGCTGAGGGGAGCAGCAGGCAAGGCATGAGAGGTCTGCTATGCCATGTATGTTAGCTCCCTAGCCAGGGATTGAACTCAGGCCATAGTGGCTGGTGATAGCTTGATAGCACTGAGACTTAATCCCACCAGGGAGGCCCCCTGTGATTTTTTTTTAATTGAAGTAATATTGGCTTATAACATTACACAAATTTCAGGTAGATAGCCTTTTAAATCAACGGCTTATATACGCATTATGGTCTACCGTTAGAATTCCAGTCTCCATCCATCACCATGCATTTGACCCTTGCTTTGTGTTCTTTATAGAAAAGAGAAAATTCAGAAAAATCCAGAAAAGGAAAAAAAAAAAAAGAAACATTTAAAAAGGAAGCAACCACTGTCCAATTACCTAGAAAAAACATCTGTGGCATCTTGATGGTCATGTTCATTTTCAATGCAGACGTAACAAATGACTAAACACTTAGCAGCTTAAAACACCATGCATTTCTTATCTCACAGTGCCTGTAGGTCATGGTAAGCTTGTCTGGGCCACCTGCTTAAGGTCTCACAAGACGGAAATCAAGGTGTCAGCAGACTGCCTTCCTTTTTGGAGGCTCAGAATGAATCCACTTCCAAGCTCATTCAGGCTGTGGGTAAATTCAGCTTCCTGTGGCTGTAGGACTGTTTCCCTGCTGGCTGTCCCCTGGGAGTCCGTAACTCCTAAATTCCTCTCGTGGCAGTGCATATGTTCCCCTACCTTGCGGAACTGGCCATGGCACCAAGTATCTTTTCCACACTTGGACTTTCTCTGACTTCTCTTCGGTCATATCCTTTCTTCCTCTTTTGCTGCCTCCTCTACTTCCAGTCAGAGAATGTTCTCTGGTTTTAAGGGTTTATGTCATTAGATTAGGCCCACTGGGATAATCCAGGAAAGTCTCCCTATATTAAAGTCTGCAACCTTAATCACATCTGCAAAGTCCCTTTTGCCAGGTAACATAATATATTCACAAGTTTCACGCAGTAGGGTGTAGACATCATTGGGAGGGGGTATTATTTAGCCTACTCCAGTAATTATGCTTTTGGTCTTTTCTCCAGGCAGATTATCTTCATAAGGAAATATTTATAAAAATGTTCAGTATTGTTCATTGGCAGTTCAACATACTTTCTTCCCCCTGGTCTATGTTTTCCTCTGTTCAACAGGGGCTGGAAGCCAGAGAACTACAGCGCTCAGAAGCCCTGCCAGGGCCTCCCTGGTGGTGCAAGGGGTAAAGTCTCAGCACTATGAAGCTTCCATGGCCACTACAGCTCGATGAGTTTGATCCCCGGCCAGGGAGCCACCCACATGGCGCAGCAGACCTCTCCTCTCTTGCCCGCTGCTCTCAGCAGTGTATTTCAGTCAATCTGCCTGTTCTGCTCCCCACTGGTAAATCCTCTCATCTCCCATCACCCGCATCTCTGGCCTACACCCCAGCCCTTGTATGCATAAATGAATAAAATAAGTCTTTAAAAATAAGGAAGAATCCCCGCCAGCCAAGGCCAGTCTTAAGCAGAAATTGTGGCTTTGTTCTTTAGGCAGCTGTGGGCAGGTGTGTGAGCTTCAACAGAAGATATGGGAGCAGCCTTCCAGCATTTTCTCAGCTTTGGTTTTGAGACTCAGGTGTCCTGTGGTTTCAGCAATGTCCTGATGCCCTAAAAGCTAGCAATGAACATGACAACCAGCTCTTCCACAGCTTTGTCAACACCTAATTCCCTGTACTAAATACTTTCCTGCTTGGAATACCTGGAGTGTTTCCTGTGTTCCTAGCTGACTGATACAAGGATCTTGTTAACCATAATGATTTATAACTGGCTTGTTTTCACTTAATAATAGATCATGAAGAGAAATCTTGAGATGTTCCGAAACAATGTGGGTTTCTATGACTGCCTGATGGCTCATCAGACAAATACATCATGATCTACTTAACCGGCTCTGTGGGTTGTTAGACATTTAGGTTGTTTTCCTGAGTTTCATTTTTATAACCCACTCTGTCAAGAATGTCCTTGGCCACGAATCTTTGCATTCAGCTAAGTATATTTATTTAGAATGTAAGCTTAAAGTAGAATTTTTGAAGGGGACTGATTTTTTTTGAAAGTTTTTATGCATGTTTCAAGATAAGTCACCTGAGCTTTCTACCCTTAGTCCCCAGGTCACCACATTCCATTCTCTCCTCTCTTTGCTGTGACTTCTGTGTCCTTGGTGGCTCCTCTTCATCCCCTTCACCTCAAGCCAGTGGAGAGTCCCAGGACTCAGTCCTTGAATCTCTTTTATTTTTTTCTTGATACTTATTCTCTTGGTAAATTAATTCTTTCCCACTATTAATGCTTTAGTATTTTAATTTAATTTATTAATTTAATTTTAATTTTAATTTATTAATTCCCATTATTAATACTATTTACAGGCAGAGGACCCCTTCATTGATATTATATGCCCATGCCTTGGTCCTGAACTCCAGATTCATGTTTTCAAATTGTCTGCTCAGCATCTCTACCTGGGTGTCTAATGGGAATATCAAAATCATCATGTCTGATTCTGAACTCTTGCTCTTCCTCCCAAACCTGCTTTCCCCAAGGTCTTCCCATCTCACTTAAAGCCACCTGCTCTAAGTTGCTCACTCCATAAAGCCTACTAGTCATCCCTTATGTCTCTCTTTCTCTTGAACGTTTCATCTAATCGCTAAGCAAATCCTACTGACTCTAA